AGAATAAATGTCGCTCAAGCATTTTCGGGAAACTTTCGACAATGTCAAGTGAACCTTATTTATCATTTGGCCCAGTTTTTGCCTTTAACTTCTTGTCATTTATTTCAGTTGTCATTTATTATTTCTTTTGCTCGCATGAAGATTGTTTGTGGCCTTTGAACCGTCTGCACCTGCCTATAGGTATCAGGCTTTTTGGTTTGATTCCTTTCGCGCTTCGCCCTTCGCGCTTCGTGCTCGCTTGCAGCACACGTGGCTGCCCACACTGGTCGCAACTGCCTATAGGTATTGCGCCCAAACTTATTTTAACTATTTAACTTTAGATCCCCGTGCCTGAAGGGAGGTCCAATGAAATGGACAGCCTCGACCGGTCGACACTGGCGCCGTTGTTTGACGGAAGATACACCCTTTTGGCCGAGATGAAAATAAATATTAAAGGTAAGGGTTATTCTTATTAAAGGGATGTTTTTGGCTCCTGTATCCCTGTTATTCCATTTACTACACTACAAGGCGATTTTCCGATCCTGTTCACTCGCCCCGTTCAATGTGCAAAAGGATTTGTATGGTGATGTTGGAATGTTGGTGTTCAGTTTTCTCGACATTTCTCCAGATTCAAGTTGTGAGGACCTCATTGCTTCGACCATCCATTTAGCAAGCTGCAAAAGTGGGTCTTATCGCACTTTTAAACTTTTCAATTTACATCTTTAGTTCGTTTCTTTAGAAAAGAAATGATATGCTCGACGAGTTGCTGTGGAAAGTGTGCGTCGAACGGATCAAAAGCGAGCCATGAATCGGTTGCGATAATGAAGAGAACGTGAGCGAATCGACGTCCCTGATCGAGGATGTTGATGTGATGGTGGGGCTTTTAACGGTTTTCAGCTAAATTCCACTAGCTAGTGCTTCTAGCTACGTTTGCTAAACGAATAATGGTTAGGAATTTGAATTCTAACGAACATTTACCTGCTTTTTACCTTATCATTATCACTAGCTATTCGCTTATCAAGCGTTAGCATTGAGCTTAGCGTTTTTTCAGTTTCCAAAATTTCAAAGTTCAGTTTACAAAAAATTGATGCTCCTTCGTTGCCAACTTTTACTGTCATTCTAGTCCAATCCGAAGTTTAAGCATTGAACAGAAGCCCAAAAGAAAGTTTTATCGGTGGTTGTAGCCAGCTGCTTTTCGTAAAACGTCGTTTAAAATAGAAAAGACTTCTCCACTTTAATTGTTATGAAGAATTGCAGAAATTGTAAATTTTCAGCTACGAGAATGCCTGTTGAAAAGCGCGTACAAAAGCGAAAGCGAGAAACCGAAAGAATGAAGATTTGTATGAACTTATTGCTAGGTTGTTACCTGTTTTCTTGGGCTTTTTTGGGCCTCAATGTGATTACGAGTGTTTTACGGTATTTGTTTACGTTTTTATTGTTTCCTTGTTGTTTTTCTAATAATAAAGTTACTACTTGAGGTATCTTTGAGCAGTGATTTGGTTCCAGAACCATATTATTTTTGATTTATGACCGATTTTGTGGAATTTTATGCCTTGTTTCGGAAATCTTGCTTATCGTTCCCCTTCTCCCTAGGCTAATTGCTCTGATTTTTATGAAATTCAGAAAGTTGTTGGCTTAAAAAGGTTATGAAAAGCCAAATTTGACGTTTGACCCCGAGAACATTAGAAAACCATTTTTTCACCAAAAATTGATTGCTTTTTGTGTTTTCTCTTTCATTTTCCGACAAGAACCAATTGTTTTCTTTTACAGGTGAAAGAATGCCGAACGAGATGCCGTTTGAAATGAGGAATCTGACGTCGTTTCCGATGGAGAAGCTCTGTTACGATCTGAAGTTGGAAGTTCTGGAGGGAATGGACGCCAAAGATACGATTGAGTTGGTCAAAATAAATTCGGGATTTCAATGGATGCTTTCACGCAATCCGTCGCTCGTTTTCAACCACCACGTCAACGGGATTCAAATGAATGAATGGCTGGAGAGGAAGTTTCAAATCCAGAAGTTCTCCGTCTCCGACTATATTGATGCGAGTCATCTTCCGCTAAGCAAACGAATTCATTCGTGTGACAGATTGGAGATACGCTTTGGAACAAGTGAGTACGGCGGACAACTCAACAACGATCACGCCTCGTTTCTGAATCAATTGAACTCTGTGAGAAATTTGGAGCTCTTATTGCGCGAAAAGGAGTGTGTGCTGAAATTTTTTGACAATTTCCGCTCGGTCATTGAAGAATCCGCGAGGATTCACCTGGACATTGATTTGTTGGAAGAAAATCAAGTGATAAGCGAGCTTTTTGAGAATTTCATTTCAAATCAGCTGAATGTCTGCGAAGAGTTCGAATGGTATTATGATTTCCGTTTTGGCGCTGCGTTTCACTTCTACTACGATACTTTTGCCAAGACTTCGATCAAAATCTTGACAATTCGAACCGAAGTGGATAGCTTTGAAGAGATCGTGCAATCAATCGTTGAAAAGGGGATCCCAAGCAAGAATCCGAAGGCAGCTTTTTATTTGTGTCACCGGGATTGTGTTTCTCGGGAGATGATGAGCCGAATCGGCGATTTTCTTTCGCAATTTCGTGGAATGAAGCGATTCGACCTAGAAAATCACCAAGAAGTCGCCAAATTGGCGATCGAAGTCGTGAGCAAGTATTTCGGCGGATCCCGCGGGTTGTTCGACAAGCCAATTTTTCGACGAAACATTGACGCGAGCAGAGATTGTGTCTACATGCTTCCCTGGGGCGGCTTTCTCGCCTTCTACATTGAATCACGATAGGAAATGATCGTGTTTTGAAGGTTTTCATCGACTCTTTTACAGTTTTAGTGCTTTAATTGTGTAATTTTGCCGATTTTTAGTTCTCTAAGAAATAAAGTTATACAATTTCTCTTTTTGAACGATGATTTGTTGTGTTAAAGACAAATGGCGATATCTTTTTTGATTGTTTTATGGTGGAAACTTTAATGTTTCCGCTACACGTATCGAATCGATCAGAGATTGAATGTTACTTGAATGCTATCTACATCTCGCACGAATGAAATAAGCACTCATTGCCGATTCTCGTTGTCATATCTTTCTGATTTCCTATCGTTGTTATTGACTTGAATTTGAGAGAGACTTGAATTTGTGAAACTTTTGAGAAATAGCTCTTTGAACTCTTCTTCTTTTGAGTTTCTTTTGCTTTGTTTACTGTTCTTACTACCGCGAAGGAGCATCGCCGAAGGATCCAAAACTTCAATGAGAACTTTTTATGTGTTTGAGAATTCTTTGATGACTTGTGGTGGAAGCGGATCTTCTGTGCCGTGTACCTCGGTGTATTATGTGTGTTTGTGTAACTTGTGTCGAATCAAAACCTGTAACGGCGAAAGCGGTTTTTCTTGTTCCTTTGTCGGGTTCCACGTCGAGGTTCACAGGATGCCGAGTGAACGCCGAGCACTCGTTCCCAATATAACCGTTTGATCAGGTAAGCTTTAACTAAAATAACTTGAACTTTTTTAACTTTAGATTCCCGTGCCTGAAGGGAGGTCCAATGGAATGGACAGCCTCGACCGGTCGAGATTGACGCCTTTGTTTGCCCGAAGATGCACCCTTGAAGGCAAGGGTGAAGGATGAAGGCAAGGGTTCATGTTTTTGGCCCTTATACCCCTGTTATTCCATTCAGTATTATTTTATCGTTCGTTACGTTAATTTGTGGTTAATGAATGTTGATTACTTTGTTACGTTTTGTTACATTTACTTCTTGTTGCTACAAATAAATCTTTGACATTTTGGAATGACTTCAGCCTGAATCCGTAAAAAATTGAACGGATATGTGTACTTTTAATTTCTCTTTCACTTTTAATTTTTCAATGCATTATTTTTGTTTATTTGGACCGATCGAGAACGGAGCTCTGCCGTTTCCTATGAAGAATTTGACGACATTTCCGATGGAGAGTTGCCATGACTTAAAGTTAGAAGTCTTGGGGCAAATGGACGCAAAAGATGTTGTTGAACTGAGCAAGGTGAATGAAGGATTCCAAGAGATGCTTGTCAGGAATGCGGCACTTGTTTTTAGACGGAACGTTCACGCGATGAATCGAGATTTTTTCAATTTTCATTGAGATCCACCGCTGGAATTCAAATCAAGAAATTCCCATCTCTCATCTTTCATCCCAAACCCGAAGGATTCTCTCTGGGTGTTAACCGTTTTAGCCATCTAGAATCGATCAAACGCATTCGTTCGTCCGAGCAATTAGAGTTACGAGCTAATGAAATACAAGGTGTCTCAAAAGAAGCCTCTTTTCGAACAGAATTTTAGAAAAACGTTAAGTGGCTAGGATGGCTAGGATGGCTAGGATGGCTATGATGGCTATGATGGCTATGATGGCTATGATGGCACTCCTGGTGCCAAAACTGTTTTTTCTTTATGGCAGTTTTTTCACTCTTTTGCGGTTTCGATTGTTTCGTTTCATTTTTAAATAGATTTTTATCTTTTTAACATCTATGGTATTTAACCAACACAGATTCTTTAAAAAAGTACAGAAATGAGGGGAGAAATAAAGAAAAATTTCAAAAAAGGTGCAATTTCTTTGATTTTGACACAATTTTGAGCTTCATTTGTGAAATTTTGTTAAGAGCTGTTAAAAATTAGGGTTGAACACACTTTTTAAAGAAATTACATCAATTCTAAAGAAAAGGCCAGGAAAATCACAGTGAGAGGTACCAGCCGTTGGAGAACAAGGAAAAAACAAATTGGGACGAGTAGGAACTTTTAAAATCTATGAAAATGACAAATCTATTGAGAAAAAATTTCCTCCTGGAGAAAAATAAAGTCAATTTTTCCGAGTTGAGCAATTTTTTTGAGTAGTTTACCGGAAAGTTCAAGGATTTTGAATGAAGCTAATGAAATGAAGTTTAAATGAAAACAAAGGAAACGAGTTTATGTGGAGAAAAGGATTCTTTTATAAATTTAAGGATATTCAGGCGAGTTTCAAAGGAAAATTTGTCATCGTTAAAGTAGAAAAATCAATTCATTCCATCCTCTTCCGCGCAAACGGGACAATCCTTTGAGGGAATCGTGCCCAAATGGGAATCCCGACGGGTTTTCTGAAAGAAATATTGTGATCGGTGCGCCAGACTGTGTGTGTTTAGAGCACAAAGTGGAATGCTACCTAGTGGCTAGGTAGAATTCTAGCCTAGTGGCTTGCTAGCGTTCTAGAAACACTACATTGAAGGTGCCGAAATTGAAGCTAAGGCTCATTTTTTTCCTGAATCGACTCACCTCTTCAAAACATCGTGAATGCACGACGTGTCCCGAATAGAGCTGCAACTCTTCCCTCTGAGTGGTTGAGAAGTCGACGGTCAATATGTGGATTTTCCCTGACAGCACGCCAGATTGTCGTCTTGGAAGCATCGATTTGCTGCTGTGTCTTGACGTCGTTGATCGATAAACCGTGAATGCGGTTCACAATTTGACGTTTGGCACGAGGCGTGAGCTTTGGCTTTGGTCCAGTCTTCTTTTGGCGATGGCGGAGGTTTTGTTCTTCAAATATAGACGAATTGTGTTGTCAGAGCGGCCCAAATCTTTCGCAATTTTCCTTATTGAATTGTCCGCTCCTCCTAGACGGTGACGGGCATCAATTCGTCCTTTTTCGTAATCCGATAGATGTTTGTAAGAAGCCATCTCGAAAAATAAACAAAATATTGAAAAGAATTTGAAAAGTACAGTAATCCCTGAGTAAAAGATTCAATCCCTGACCGATTCGATTCGTGTAGCGGAAACATGAAAGTTTCCACAACAAAATAATCAAAAAAGATATCGCGATTTGTCTCTAACACAACAAATCATTGTTCAAAAAAAGAAATTGTACAGCTTTATTTCTTAGAGAACTAAAAAACGGCAAAATTATACAATAAAAGCATCAAAACTGTAAAAGACTCGACAAAAACCTTCAAAACACGATCATTTCCTATCGTGATTCAATGTAGCAGGCCAGAAATTGATTGTATTCGCCGCGCCAGGGCAGCATGTAGACACAATCTCTGCTCCAGTCAATGTTTCGTCGAAAAAATAGACCGTCCACCACAGGACACCAGCGAAATCCGCCGCTATACTTGTTCACGAGTTTGTCCGCCATTTTGATGACTTCTTCGTGATTTTCTTGCTCGAATCGCTTCATTCCATGGAATTGCGACAGAAAATCGACGATTCGGGCCATTATCTCCCGAGAAACATCGATTCCCAAATAATCCCTGATATACACATGAAAAGCCGCCTTCGAATTCTTGCTCGGGATCCCCTTTTCAACGATTGATCGCACGATCTCTTCAAAGTTATCCACTTTGGTTGACATTCTTAGGATTTTGGTCGAAGTCTTGGCAAAAGCATCGTAGTAGAAGTGAAACGCAGCGGCAGAACGACAATAATACCACCAGACGACTTCTTCGCAGTCATTCAGCTGATTTGAAATGAAATTCTCAACAAGCTCGCTGATCACTTGGTTTTCTTTCAACCAATCAATGTCTAGGTGAATCCACGCGTATTTTTCAATCATCGAGCGGAAATTGTCAAAAAATTTCAGCACACACTCCTTTCTGTGCAATACGAGCACCAAACTTCTCAATGAGTTCAATTGATTCAGAATCGTCGCGTGTTCGTTGTTGAGTTGTCCGCCGTACTCACTTGTTCCAAAAAAGCGTATCTCCAATCTGTCACATGAATGGAT